GTCCAGGGACTCGTCCCTCAGCGTTGGAGTTCCCACCCACCCCTCACCGACGGCTGCTATACGTTGGAAACTTTCTGGGCCTCCCTGGCCTGTCGGAGTCCGTAAAGCCACTTGATCACCCGAGCGTTGCGTTCGATGATGGAGATCCCGTAGGGCATGCGCTCGGCCTGCCTGTTCTCCAAGGTGACGGTGCTGCGCCGGGAGTGGGTCCCGGCCGAGCTGCTGGTGCTGACGCTGTGGAACTTGACCGACACAATATCCGAGCTGGCTCGAGTGAACCGCTCCATCTCCATGTCTCCGACATCCTCGGGATCCAAGCCACAATAGTTGAAGAAGCGCTCCAAGTCGGCCGTGGCTCGGGAATATCGGTCACTCAGGTCCGATTTGGAACGGTGCAACAAGGTTTGACGTTTCGCACTCTCGGTCCGCGGCTCCCCCCGAGGGCTCGGGCAGCTGAGAGGGGTGGCAGGCAGGACTTTGGGGGGCGCCGGTGGAGCAGGGAGCGGAGACAGTTGGATAGTCGGGGTGCCTCTGTTCTGCAACACCCCGCAGGGCCGTACGTCCACCCGGCGTACGGCAACGGTGCTTGACGGCTTGGAGGATGCCGAGCTTTGGGAGAGCTTACTCATGTCAGCCGTGGCCTTCTTCTTGGGGGTGGAGGGGACGCTGTCCAGATTCCGGCTACGGACCTCGGAGGCCCACGGACGCTCCGAAGGGCTCATCTCTGGCTTGGGGAAGGCCAGGGGGCTGTCGCAGAAATTGATCAGGTTGTTGAGGATTTCCAAGTTGAGAGAGGATTTGGGCCCGCCGCCTTCTCCCCGCCGGCCCGCTTGAGGGGTCTTGCGATTGGGGGTGAACATGGCCCGCCTCACCCCCGGGGTGAAGAGCGGCTGTTTGAGCACCAGGGGCCGGACGGGGTCCTGTTTGGTGGTGGCCACTTGCTGGCTCTTGACGTACTTCGCCTTGTCGGCCTCCAGGCGTTCCACCGCGCTGAGCTTCCGGGAGGCGCCGTTGCTGACCAGGGGCCGGCGGAAGTACTCGGGCCCCTTGTGGAGGATGCGGAAGGGCATGGCGGAGGTGAAGGGGGCCGTGGCCGAGACGCTGCTCATGGCACGGCTGGCTTGGAGGGTCTCCACCGGCATGGTGGGCTGGCACCGCCTGATCCCGCGAGACTTCTTGTGCAGCAGCCCCGGAGAAGGATTCACATACCCCGAACTGGCTGGCTGGCTGGCTGGCTGTTGTCAAGCCCTGGAGCGGTCAGGGAAGCTTTCCAGACAGATGACAGCCTGCAAAGGGGGGGGGAAGGCACAGAGACAGGGGTCTCCCACCGCCTCGCTGGAGCAGTCCCGGTTGCCGCTGGCAGGCAGGGCAGCTTTCCAGACGGACCACAGCCTGCAAAGAAGGCGCGGAGATCGGCAGCCCCAGTCTCCGCTGGCGGGCAGGGCAGCTTCCCAGACGGACCACAGCCTGCAAAGAAGGCGCGGAGATCGGCAGCCCCAGTCTCCGCTGGCGGGCAGGGCAGCTTCCCAGACGAACGACGGCCTGCAAAGTAGGCGCGGAGATCGGCAGCCCCAGTCTCCGCTGGAGGGCAGGGCAGCTTTCCAGACGGACCACAGCCTGCAAAGAAGGCACGGAGATCGGCAGCCTTAGTCTCCGTTGGCGGGCAGGGCAGCTTTCCAGACGGACGACGGCCTGCAAAGGAGAGAAGGCACAGAGATCAGGGGTCTTCCGGGGCCCTCACCGGAGCAGCTCCGCTCTGCTGGCGGGCAGGGCAGCTTTCCAGACGGACGACAGCCTGCAAAGGGGAGAAAGCGCAGGGATCGCCAGCCCCAGTCTCCGCTGGCGGGCGGGGCAGCTTTCCAGACGGACGACAGCCTGCAAAAGGAGAGAGAGCGAGAGGAGGCACGGCGACCCGGCCTCTCCCCGACGGGTCCGGAGCGCTGCTCGCCTGGCCTCGCCCGGGCAGAGTCCGCAGACAAAGGCAGCAGCTGGGCGAGGAGACGGAGCGCCCGGTTGCCTATTTCAAGGCGCAGGCCCCGCCCACCCCTCTCCGCGGGGGCCGCTGGCCCAGCCAATCAGCGGCGGCGGGGCCACTTCAAATGCCAAGCTT